AACTTCGAAATTGCAAACTTTTCGAACGAAAATATCATACATTGCGCCAAGTCGGTCAACAGGAAACGGGGGGAAATCGTGATCGAGTCGAGTTTTTCCACGGTCGTCGGTTCAACTTGAAGCGTTTTTTTCTTTTTTTTTTTTTTTTCGTAGCGAGTTTTTACCAATTTTTCGACAAGGGTGGAATATTTCGCTCCGCTTTCTCCAAAATCCATGGTTTTTTTTTTTTTTTTTTTGGACTCGTCGCCCATTCAACGCGCGACGAATCCTTTATTATCCTGTACATTCGAGACGATGGAAAGAGTTCAATGAGATTTGTCAAAGTGTCGTTTTATCGTTCCACGAATTGGTTGTAACGAGTCGTCGTGTAAAGTGACGAGTTTGACTGTAAATCGGTCGAGGAACGTGTAAAGACTACCGTATTTCTTCTTGTGTTGTGAAATTAATGGAAGGAGTGATTTTTTTCTTTTTTTTTCTTTTCTTTTCTTCTTCTCTCTCACGAATTTGACACGTATATATTTATACATTTTATCTGTTCTAAAACGATCGAATAAAATTTTTTTAAAAACGATACAATTCCATTTATGGGTGGATGGATCGTTAACGGATTCGTGGAACACTTTTAAAAGTATCGATTTTAGAGACTAGAGAAGGAAAAAAGAAAAGTATTTATATCGAATCGAGTTGAACGAACGAAAGAGGAAAATAGATAAGGACGATTTTCTCGATAGTGTTCTCGATAATCTCGTCTCATTTTCCATTCGTTCGAGGAAATTCTTGGGTCGGGTAGGAAGGAAGGAATTTGAAAAATCCTCCGGCCTTTTCATAAATATCGTTCGACCCGAATAATCTCGGCGCGAATCCATTTGCATAAACGATTTTTTAAATTAGACAGCTTCCATCCATTCGTTGTCGATCCTCTAATACCCTCCAGCCTGTTTGCATAGAAATTTCTGATTATTCAGTAACAGTTGTCTACTACAGTGTGCGTCCGAGGCATGAATCGCCTTTGACACACACGCGCGCGTACATTCGTAAAATCGGTCGGCACGATCGGCGCATTTGAATTTTAAATTTCCTTTTCGTCGAACGGATAATAACCGTGGAATGTAACGGGCTACTCTTTCACGGCATGAAATATTACGGCGATCGTCGTTCGATTCGTCGTTTCGATTTTAGACGAGTTTATCGTTAGAATGTCTTACTTTCGAAAGATTTTTCGAATTCCTTTCAATGAAAGATCTCGATCGAGGAAATATTTTCAGATATTGTCGATTTGTCTTTCAAGCGGATCTATCTTTATTAATTTAGAAGAAAAAAGAGAACGAGAAACGAGAGGCGGAGGTGTCTGGAAATAGATTCGAACTTTTGCTTGGCAATCGATCGTCGCGATTTTTGCCGCTCCATTCACGAAAACGTTCCAACTTTCGTTTTCCCTTGGCGATGCGGGGAAGCTTCGTCGCGCTCGAGTTTACGGCGTTGTAAAACTTTAATCGCCGTTTCGTGTCGTGTCGTGTCGTGTCGTGTCGTGTCGTGTCGTCACGTGTCGTTCGTTGTTCGCTGAGAGAGAGAGAGAAATGGAAAGCAGAGCAATCGGGATTACGTGCCGATTTTGATAAGGTTGCTGCCCCCATCGAGATGATGGAAAAGGAGGAAGGAAGGAAAGAATTTCTTTTTTAGAACGAAAGCGAAAAGCAGCAGCAATTGCGAAGTATGAAGTTCGAGGAGGAAAGTATATTTATGCAAATTTTAAATGAGAGAGAGAGAGAGAGAGAGAGAGAGAGAGAGAGAGAGAGAGAAGAAGAAAA